TACACGAGGCGATTATAAACATAACAAGAGGCCTAAAGTCGTTTCCGTGGGATGCGTTGGTCCATGGAAACATAATGGCGTTCTAGCTGAATTTGGAAAAATTAGGGAAACCGGAAAGATGTGTCATGTTATGAGCATCGATGAGTAGGTTACCTGTATGGGTTGGTTTAATGTGCTTATTACTGAATTTATAGTAGCCTGCGTGGCAGGCTACTATTTCTCTCACATCCCCTTTTTGCTTCCTCCCTATCCCCTACCCCTTTCGACACCTGCTACGCAAGCTAAATTTATAGTTGTCAGTGGTCGCAAGGATGGAGTTGATCTTGTTTTGATCTATCGCTATGTAGTTATTTTCGTAGCACGATTTGGATAAGAAAAGAAGTTATTTTGCATCAAAACAAGGTTTAGCCGTGTAACTTAAATTGGAATATTAACGGAAACAAGTAATGGAGAACATGCGCATAATGCTCTCTGATTAACCTGAACAGGAACTATATGTAAAAAGATAGGTCATATCTTGGTAGTAAGTTACCACAGGTAACTTTTTCAAAGAGAAATAAACATCGTAGTTTTAGGTTAATGGAACAAAACAAAACATCCGCTTGCTTTATCCAGGGTCGAACCCAGGGTTGCAAAGTTCGATAAAGTTCCAATGTTTTAATCCAAGATGAAAGTTTAATATTCCAAGATGCTCTTGTTACGGTTAAAAATTAATTGCAATGTGTTTCCAAGGTCTCAAAGTTAACATAGTTCCAATGATTATCCCTGATCCCAAGGTATAATAAGTTTACTAAGGTCCTGATCCGTGTCCCATCCAGAAGTCAAATCCATGCCAAAAGCGAGTCGTCGATCGACGAGGACAATATTTTCGCGATTTCACCGTCAATCGTCAAGGGTACGAGTTGAAATTTTAACCTCCCATCGTCAAGGTGTTTTCGATAACAAAAAAGGAAAAAACTGAACTCTAGCTGTGCTCGGCAAAAACTGGCGAACTCCGAATAGAAAAATCTATCAGAAAACATGGCCCGCGACCAGACGCTACTAAAACGTTATGAAAAAGCTAGACCTAAACAAAAAAGAATCATGAAGGGAAGAAATAATTTGGCTTAGGTCGCCTTTCGTGACTTGCCAGTATCTCGAAGGATTTCGCTGGTTAACAAGCCATCCTAACCACGAGTGGGATAACTCAAGGGCGACAAATTTGGCAAGGAACGTTCTGATTTCGACTTTCATCAGAGGAAGCAAATCGATTAAAAATCGATACAAATTTTGTACAATCTGATTGGTCGGCTTGAAAGAAGAGATAATCGATAAAGATTTTAGGCAATCCTATTGGCTGGCTTTGCAATTTTGGGTACAACCGAACCGGATTTTTACCGTGGGAGTACCACAGGCATCTCACGGAAGAAGACGCTACGGAGCGTACACTTCGGCGTCGTGATTGTGGAACTGATTAATTGTAAATGCGGAGGAATAGTAAGAAATGAAATATGGTAAGAGTAAGGCGTTATTTTGTGAAATTATGGGATTTGTCAGGATATTCTGAAAAAAGCAACATCCAAGGGACCTACTTGCCAAAAACTAGCATTTCGGAACAAATTGTCTCTGAGATACTAGCCCAGTTATGCTCTGATGACTCCATACAAATCCTTCTAAATTTGACTTGGGTCTAAACGTCAAATATGAGGTTACTGGCGGTGAATAACAAGTCTGAAAAAACAAACAGGGAAAAAATAATTCTCTATTTTTCTTAGTCAAATCAGGCTTCAAAAACAGCATAGCAGTCTCATGTACTGATTAAAGATATGTAAGGCATGGGTAAGGAGTCAATTACGTTGAGCATGGAATTGGCTAAAACTTCGAAGGTTTCGAGAATAATTATTCACTGACTATCAGCACGCGGGGATGTTGGATTAACTCAAGGAAGTTTAATACCAAAGGAAAATAGCCTTTACAGAGCTTTGAAACACAGCATCCGCCAACACAAACTTGACTTGAACTTAAGTAGAACTAAACAGCCTCTGCCAATAATAACAAACTCTCACTTGAACTTCAGATATCTTACGGCTTCCGCCAACTTGTAAACACAGAACTTGAAAATCGAACTTCGTCACACTTAACTAAACACAGCAGTCCAGCTCGTGGGAAAAAACTTCGTTCGTCAAAAGAACCCCCTTGGAACTTGTATACCGTTTAACATGAGGTTCTAGAAAATACTAAACAGGCGAATAGTAGTAGCTTTTCGACATATTTTATGATTTCAGTAACTGATGCAAATCTGCTGACTCATGCTGAAATGTAAACATGTCCTAATTAATTTTTCATGAATAATCCAAAAACGTAGAGACGTTCGAGAAAGTCACGCAACGCATGACAGCAATTTTACTACGTAACACTCAACAAAGACAAAATGTCTTTGTGTAGCATTTTGTAACTTTAAATTCATCATAAAGCAGTTCGAAAGGAGGTCTCACTCGTGAAATGTTCTTCAACACTCGAGGAGAAATTTTGTTTCTCTACGCGGCCACGTAATATCCTCTATTTATTCTTCGAGTAAATTAAAGACTAAACTCGAAGTGAACTCAAGACATCAAGATATATCGTGAAATAGCCGAAACATGCAGAAAAGTCACGAACTTGCACACCCAGTCTTGTCCAGAAAATAGTGCATCATTTCATAACTATTTTTCATAGCTCGAACTACCCTGGGTCGCAGTAGCGCAATCAGCTAATCCCTCAACTTAGAGTCTCCTCTGATCTGACGGGTCACACAGGTGAGTGGGTTCAAACCCCGGGAAAGCGAAAAAGAAATCGAAGTGATCTCTGGATATCTCGAACTAATTCGGCTCTCAGTTCGTCAAATAGCCGAATAAAACCGAAAACCTACAAACTTTGCGTGCCCAATCTTGTCAAAAAAAAGGCAACTTTGATACATTCCTGAGCGTCGCGAATCCCTTACTTCGCGCTCCGCCAGAGTAATAACATGTGCGAGATGTTGTGTTACAAGGTCGTTCAACAGAGGGATTGTATTGGCTCGCAAACTTATGTGAAGTGTTGTGTTACAACGGTCGATTAGAAGATTATAAAGGTTTGTATAGGATCGCGACTGATTTAATTGTTTTTAAAAAATAGAAAAAAAAGTTAACTTACCGTCCTCATCTTTTATTCACATTTTAGCCCCATTTCTGCCGATCTCGACGATTTACCGTCTACAGAGTTTCCACTGCTAAAGAAAAGGACAAGGCAGAACACGGGCGGCTGGGTGCCCACTGCTCGGAGCGACGAAAAAGACATGTAAAATTCGCCAACTGCCACAATTCCCCCATACAATCAAAGTAGAGAAGTAAGCGTTTCCTCTGAGTACTTTCCCAGACCAAATGCAGCCAAATCGTGTTCCCCAGAAAACGTTCTTAAATTAAATCAGTCACGATCCCATCAACCTTTATAGTTTAGCCTGAGTATCAGGCGTTTCTGGGGGAAAAGGGGACAAATGGAAGCGAAAATCTCCTCTCCCCTAGCCCCTTAGGAAGGCCTGACACTCAGCCCATTTATAATCTTGCAAGTGACCGCTGTAACACAACACCTCGCATGTGTTTGCGAGCCCATACAATCCTTCCGTTGACCGACTTTGTAACACAACACTTCACACATGTTATGTTTATAATCACCAGTTGTCTACTAAATTGAGCTTGCGCCACGGTTGTGCTAGCCTGCGTTGCAGCCGGCCCACGCACTCGTCTAAACCATTCATATACAAGGTTTAGAGCGTCTGCGACGCTAGCCTCTGACAGCCAAAGGAGCCGTTTTATCGCCAGAGAAGCGTGATTTTACGGTATTGTTCATGCAGTTTGCGTTTATTGTGACTTTTGAAGAGTTCTTGGTCCTGTTTAGTCAGCAATCCTTTTATCTTATCAATTTGTCTTGTCCCGCTGGGCGGTATTACCGAAGAAAATAGTACATTTGTTGTGGCAGGTACATCAACTCTAGCTTTCATTGTAAAACTGTGTTGCAGAACTTGATGTCTCTAGGTTTCTACGAGATCAGGATAACTCTATAGGAATATTTTTATTCATAAAAGTCGCTTTGTCCTTTTGGCCGGTATTACCGAAGAAAATAGTACCGTTCAACGGGACATCCAGAGTTTTAGCAGCATTTGTTAGGAGGTATATAATATCTGTTTTTTTAATTGTTAAACGGTGATTCTTTAGGTTTCTAAAAGGCCAGGGTAACTAAACAGGAATGCTTTTTTTTCATAAAAAATGCCTTGTCCGTTTGGCGTGTATTATCTAAGGAAATAGTACCGCCTAGCAGGACATCCTAAACTATGTTAGCAGTTTGTTGCATGTATTACTACCCGTTACTACAATGTAACAACAACAAGCTGCATGTCATGTAATACATACCTTGCTTTCTGAAGGCTTTTTCCTACCAGCTAAGAATGTCCACCCAGGGGGAAACTCTATAGGGAGTACTCAGGTATAACAGTGATGGTTCATTTAGGCTTGAGCAAGAGCGCCATAATGGGACCATTATGGCTCTTGGCTGGAGCCATTGATTTTTGCTGGATCAGTTTCCATGACTAGTATCCTAGTTTCTCAATTTTATAGAACTCGCATTATTTGCTTTCATCCAAACCCATATATATTGCATGTATTAAACAAAATTGACATGTCAACTACAGCCAGCTCTGTTCTTAATTATTAATCCCTTACCCTGGTCCCAGAGGTTTTTCTTGAAATTTTTCTTCGTTGTCGAAAGGTTCAAAGTTAACCCTGTGAAAACCAGCAGCAAACTGAAACCACGTGTAGCGTCGCCGGAAATTGAACCCAGGCCGGCAAATTTATAAAGGGCGAGTGCTGCTACACCACCACTACTGAACCTTGCTTCGAGTTGGTGATATTATTTCGTGTGATGCTTGATGAGACACTTTCTGACTGTTTATTTGTGTCCATTTATATCTTGTAGATAAAATTCTTCCTTAAAGCCTTACTCAAACTAGAATGAACATAAGCAGGAGGTACGTTTGGCTTCTTGCCATCTTGATTGGTTCATTCTTTGGTTACTTGGTATTCAAATCACGCTACACAACTCCTTATTTATCCAAACTTCAGGCCGGTCAAAATCATGGTGGAGCGAAGACTGTGAACGCCACGAAAAGTGTTGCTACCAGCACTATACAAGTCATTGTAACTACGAAAATTCCTGGTGATGAACGTCTCCAAATCGGCCATTATGTTTCTAGACTTAACTCTTCCATAATTGGAAAAGAGTTCAACTTTGATGATTCAACTCTAGCTGTGGTAAGGAGAGTTCTTCGGGATCAAACCTTCAAGCGAAAGCCAATCGAGTCCGTTGATGCCAAGACGCCATTTTTTGATCTCGTGACTCCTGTAACCGGGTGTTCGAGTAACCACTACGGCGAATTCAAACCGCACATAGAAGATTTTAGAAAGAGTTTCCCTGGAACGAAATGTTTTTTCTACGATCTTGGACTAAACGATGAGCAGATCAATGAAGTTAAAAACATGCCCGACCTAGTGTACAGAAAATTCGACTTTAATGCGTATCCTGAACACGTCCGTAACCTGCAAAATTATGCCTGGAAACCGCTGATAATTCAAGAAATGCTTTCTGAATTTGATGGGACAATGTGGTTTGATTCATCTGTCAGATTCTTAGGAAACCTAGCAAATAATGTAATAGAACTTATGTCCCGCCACAATACAGGCGTAGTTTTTTATCTCGACACAACCGGCCACTCCATAATAACCGCTACTCAACCGGGCATGTTTGAATACTTTCCGATGATGAAAGAAGGCGCAGTTAAGGACATGCTTCAGGCCAGTGCAGTGATTTACATAAACAGGGATGAAGTACAAAGGCATATAATCAAATGGGTTGTGATTTGCGCCCTCAAAGAGGACTGTATCGCACCGCCCGGTTCAACATTATTTTGTGGGTTTAATTTTCCTCGAGACAGGTTTGGGGGCTGCCACAGATATGACCAGTCTCTGCAAAATATCCTTGTTTCGAACGCTTATAACCATGACCACGAGAAATATCAGTACTGGAGTAAAGATTTTGCCGTTATGGCCCGGGGGTAACTTTCCTTGAGAAACTCGCACAGCTAGGAAGGAGTTTCTTGATCATTGTAAGTCACACGTCTATACAATTCATTTATACTTTTTAAAAACATTGCACTCAACAAACAAGTCTTAAATTAGATACCAGCAGTGTTGTGTTTCCTTACCACGCCAATTCGGTTAAAGTGTTTTAAATGTGAGTGTAAATCTAGAAAAACTACAATCGTGGACAACGGCGACGTCCGTGAAAACGTCGCCGGAAAATAGACTTCGCATCCTTTCACGTTTTTTCGTGATTAATCCATGGCCAAGAGGCCCAGTTACTTAAAAGAAGGGAATTAGGGTTGGAGCTGAAGAGAGGGGAACGCACCCAACGTTCTGACAGAGATGGTAGAATTTATAGCCTTGTCGTCCCCGTTCCCAAGTAAACTTAAAATTTGGTCATTTCACGTCGTTATTTATGCAGGGACTGCCAAGAAATGTACAAAAAAGTGTGATGCACGTGCAGAGTTGCTGTTTTGCTGATTAATTCTTTCGTTTTTTGTTTTTTTTTTTGACGTCCCGTTGCCGTCGCTGTCGTAGTTTCGTAAGGTCGCTATTAACGAAAAAAGCGCGGTCAATGGGAGCGCGATGGGTGATGGGAACTTGCGATCCATATAGAGACGACTGGAAAAAGTGAGCTCCTCGAGTTCTTACAGGGTAATATTTACTATGATATTAAGTAAACATTTAACTCTTTATTACACGTACTTTTCATAACCCTCAATGTTCACTTTTTATATAATTTCCATTTTCCACTCTGCGCGTCCTCCATTTTTTCATTTGGCCATACAATCCGAGCATTTGAACTTTTATCTAACCATTTCTGGCTCAACAAGAATCAAGGGGAAAAGGGCGTGTCTCTTAAGGAAGTCGCCGCGCTAGCTGAACGTTTTTTAAGCCCCGGTTACGCTCTCCAGGAATAAATAACAATATAACTTGTTTTGCCTTAAATATACTAACACTTGGAGGAATAAGCCAGGCAGCCGACCGACCATGAAAAATCTTGTACCGTGACAAATCTTTTGACCCTTGTGGAACTGTTTTTGCGTCTGATATTAGGTGTGTTTCTTAACTATTTCATCGAAAATCTAAGACAACATTTAAAAATTCTCGAAGGAGAAGATGGCGTGATGGAAGAGATTCTGTTTACGTCAGAGGGCCAGTGCAATAATTTGTCTTTTTCTTCTATTTCTGTTTTAATTTTTCAAAGCTGTTCCTCATAAACTTATCCAAATCTGCAAGGTCCACTACAGCCGTTTGGACCATTTGACAAAAAAGTTCCGGTAGGATCTCATCTAATTTCTTTTTCTTTCGTTCTGTGAGGATGGCGGTATGAGCGATCTCCTTCATGTAGTTTACAGCAAATGTTCCTCTCTCTTCTGCTTCCTTGACGAAAACAAATAGAAGACAAGTCTGTGCTCTGCTTGCTCTAAGTGCCGGTACGCTGGTACTCTCCAACGTAGCCGTTTTTTGTGGTCACGCGATGCTTGTGGGAGGAGCATGGCGTGGCGACACAAAAAAACGGTTGCGTGGTAGACTAGAACAGTGGCCACAAAAACATGATTGTCGTTCAATCTTAAACTTGGTTTAAATTCTATTTTCCTTTGTTTTTGGGTATGGTAATGTAAAAGCATCTGTAAAAGTAAGTAAGTTTGAAACAAAAAGGGAAAATAAGATTGAAACCAAGAATAAAATTGAAACATAAGATACACATACCTGGTTATGAGTCCGTTGTGATTCCGCTGGCCAGTACTGTAGTCCGGCTCGGCTGACAGATTCCGTAGAGGGAGTCCTGGGAAGTAGATACGCGAGATTACATAATCAGGATGTGAACTGATAAAGGGAAGTCCCCCAGAAAGAGGCCTCGAAAAATCCCAATGGACACTGTTGTACCGCGCAAGATAGGTCTTCGTATCATTTTCACGGAGATTTTCGCTAACGTTCGGCTCTTTGTCGGAAATCCCACGAAACGTTCGGGTTACCGCAACAGGATTAGCTCGGTAGGTAGAGCGCTTGACTGCAGAGCGGGAGGTAGCGGGTTCGATTCCCGGGATCTGACCAACACTCAGGGTCTTAAAATGACTGAGAAATGAAGCTACTTCCTTTGCCCTGCAAATGGCCAGACCTTCCCCTGGCTTGGATGAGCACCTAATGGCGGTCCCGTCTCCAGGACGAAACGTAAAAATAGTGTCCCCAATTAGTACTTTCGTGCTAAATACACTCAAATAAAGTGCATTTTTTTTAAATTCCGACAAGTTTTGGATGGATTCGGAAAACTTTGCGTCAAGCTCGATAAATTTTCGTAAGTCTCCGGAGTATCTTCGGATATTCTTGCCGCTAAGGAATGATATCAGAAGGGTAATGTGTACTTCAACAGATTAGAATTTGGAATAAAAAAAATAGTAGTAATATTACCTATTGATAAATGATTACCTTTCGTGTTTTCCAGGCTCGTTTCTTTTACTCTTATCCGCATCCAGAACTTGTTTTCGCCTGAAACGCAAAGATGCTAACAGTTAATCTACCACTAGCAATACAACATCAACACAAAGCGAAAAACATAACCATCGGATTACCTTACGATTTAATAACCATTGTATAGATTATTTCCAGCAAGAGACATAATTTAGCTACAGTTATGGTAAGACCTAATTTACAGCCGGGCTCGCTAAAATCGTAAGTTTTTTCAAGTCCCGTGAAGAACTGAGAACTTCCAAATATGAGGCTTTTTTAAATTAAGAATTTATTTCAGCTGATTTTGCCACTTTGAATGTTATGTCAAGCTTTCTGTATCTTTAACTGTCGCTATTTTTACTGTTTAATGTATAGTGTTAGAATTTTTATGATACTGATTTCACTTTTAAGGTACTTTTTATAGTGTAATGAGTGCCACTAATTTATCAGTGTTTTTACCACTGTCAAGTGTCACCCTCCATAAATAGAGCCTTACAGATACTAGCCCGCGAGTAGGCTCTCCATTTGGGGGATATTGCGAAAAGTAGACGCGTGACAGACACGCGAGAGGAGACGCGAAAGCGGGGGCGGCCCCTCGCGGCTTCGCTGCTCGCTCGCGCGTTCCTTGCGCGGCTCGCTTTGCTCGCCCAAATAGGAGAGCTTGCTCGCAGGTTATACTAATACTAAAACTTCTTATGGTCAACATAACAGGCGAATTAAAGTCTTATTAGTGAGCGACCAAATAAATTGAAATCTCGTTTTTAAGTAAAGCTGGACTGAATCAGTTATAGGTTACATTTTACCAAACCTCGTTCCCAGGGTACGAGTAGGAGAGAAATCTGGAAACGAGGTTGCATGTTACCTTGAATCTCCCAACATGGTGAGGAGTCTGGATTGAGGAAGCTGAGATGTAGTAATGTGAGCCAACGTTCCAAACAACTTTTCAGCGGCAACATTATCTTCAGCCGTCACCTAGACCACCATAAATGGAAGAAAAACGAAATGTTGCCTGAGAAAACAGCCGACATTTGGCGACGCTACCACTGGTTTCCCCGCCAAATGACGTCTGAGAAACGGTACTGATGACGCGCCACTACCCAGGTCTGGGTAGTGCTTCTGATTGGTTGAATCAAGTTTCCCACTCGGCACGGTCAGTCAGAAGCACTGCCCAGATCTGGGTAGTGACGCATCATTAGTATGGAATTTCTGCGCTCGTTTCTCAGACGTCATTTGGCGGGGAAACAAGTGGTAGCGTCGCCAAATGTCGGCTGTTTTCAATGATGAACATTAAAATAAAGCGTTATCCCTCAAATGAAAGAAAATATGGGTTACTTAACTAACCTCGATATCGTTGATTTTTCTAAGAGAAAAGTGTGCCAGACGAAAAAGCACATATGGTCTCCAAAGAGTAAAGGTTGTGACGGGGTTTCCTTCGCTGCTGATACTGAGATGATCAAGTCTTCTTAGTAGGGATAAAGAATTTATTTGCTGCAAACTTTTGATGTTTGTTTCTGTAAATGTAAGGCCCTACAATGCAAAAATAAGTATGAGTTACTGACTGTTTGCTTAGCCACACTATAGAGCTCTTTCGCATTTCCTGACTGGAGCCAGATTAAGACAAAGGGTTCGTTTGTTTCAACGCTGTGAGGTTTTACGTTTACTATTTCAGGAAATTTCTTTGAGATTTCAGCTGACTATGAAGGGCCAGGTGGAATCGGAAACTTTCAAGCGACTTTCCATGTGAAAGCATGTTCAAATGAAAGAAACCTTTTTGACTAAAAACGAAAGACGTCTTTACGGGTAACACTTTTAACAATGCACCGATGCTAAAGGGCAACCTAGGGGAGGAAGGGTGTCGCAATGGTGAAAGCACTCGCCTCCCACCAGTGGTCCGGGTTCAACTCCCGGCGTCGACGCCATTTTTGCGTTGAGTTTGTTGTTGGTTCTCTCCCTTGCTCCAAGAGGTTTTTCTCCGGGTACTCTGGTTTCCCCCTCTCCTTAAAAACCAACACTTCCAAATTCCAATTCGATCTGGATATGCAGGAACACATTTTAACGAGTTCTCTTAAAGAGCTCCTAAGTGCTTCGGAACTAATTACAATTTACAATTAAAATTACAACTTCGCATGTTAGTCATGTTTCTTGCGTGGTATACTCACCAACAGAGAAGGGAATCGAGCTCTTATCTTGTACAACTGAGGAACGATGTTGTCAAAGTCGATGAATTTGAAGGAGATGGCGCTCACAGCCTGCACAGCTTGGTTACCCCAGTTACGATCCAGTGCATCCAAGGAGCCTGGGCCATACAGGTAAAGTGTGTCATTATCAAGCTCTGCCAGGTGGCATATACTAAGGGGGGAAGGGACAGTATCCCTGCTCCTACATCAAGAAAAAGAAAATCAATGTTCTAATAACAAACGTAGATGTCCACATAGTAGATATCACAATGCGTTTGTCGACCTGGAATTGTCGACTGATACGTCCGCACATCTGGAAAAGAAATTAACTTAACTTAAGTGAAGAGC